ATGTGCCCACCACGCCCGGATAATTTTGTGTTTTTAGTACAGACAGGGTTTCACCATATTGGCCAGGATGGTCTCGATCTCCTGACCTCCTGATTTGTCCGCCTTGGCCTCCCAAAGTGCCGGGATTACAGGCGTGAGCCGCCGCGCCAGGCCAGGGTGTTTCTTTCTGTTATGTAATTAACTTCATTAATCCAAGAATGTAAAGGTCAGTGGTCATCTCTATTCTGCCTTCTCCAGTGTCCTTGGCAGAGTTAGAGTCAGTTGTTCCTTTCCCGTTTGCTCATGTCCCGGTCTGCTGGGGCTGCTAGAACAAATTCTACATGGCTGGGCACGGTGGCTCATGCCTGTAATCTCAACACTTTGGGAGGCTGAGGCCTTGAGCCTAAGACCTGTCTAGGCAACATTTCGAGACCCTGTCTCTACAAAAATTAAAATATTAGGTGTGGTGGCGCACGTCTGTAGTCCCAGCTACTCAGGAGGCTGATATGGGAGGATTGCTTCAACCTGGGAGACTGGGGAATGATCACACCACTGCACTCCAGCCTGTGCAACAGAGAAAGACCCTGGCTCAAATCAAAGAAAACACACCCTAAACACTGGTGGTTTCTGAACAACAGAAATCTAGTTCTCACAGTTCTGGAGGCTGGGAAGTCCCGGATTGCGGCTCTCGCAGATTCAGTGCCGGGAGGGCTGCTCCCTGCTTCACAGACAGCTCCTTCCTCCTGTGTCCTGTGTGCTTGTTGCCGAAGGAGCAAGGCAGCGCTCTGGCATCTCTTTCCTAAGGCACTGATCCCGTTCAAGAGAGCTCTGCCTTAGGCTGGGCACGGTGGCTCATGTCTATAATCCCAGCACTTTGGAAGGCCAAGGTGGGCCGATCGTGAGGTCCGGAGATTGAGACCATCCTGGCTAACATGGTGAAATCCCGTCTCTACTAAAAATACAAAAAATTAGCTGGGCGTGGTGGCGGGCGTTTATAATCCCAGCTACTCGGGAGGCTGCGGCAGGAGAATCGCTTCAACCTGGGAGGCGGAGGTTGCAGTGAGCTGAGATCGTGCCACAGCACTCCAGCCTGGGTGACAGAGTGAGACTCTGTCTCAAAAAAAAAAGAGAGCTCTCCCCTCATGAGCTAATCACCACCCAGAGGCTTCACATCCTAAAACCATCACAGTGGGGGTGGGGATTTGAACACACAGACATTAAGATCGCAGCCTCCTGCAGCCACCACAGGAGGAGGGGCAACGTCTGCTCCTGTTCCTGCTCCCTGAGAAACCGACTCAGATCCTCAGGGCCAAGATTTGCTTTTATGTTTTTCCATGTCCTTAGTGCCAAGTGGAGAACCTAAAACAGAACAACCAGTAAGAAAGGAGAGAACATGGGTGGGCTTGGGTGGACGGGGAGGCGACTAGGGAGCACGCGGACGCTCCTGCTTCTCCTCTGGTCTCAGCCCTCTGTCCCCAACACTGCCGAACGAGCTTCGGGGTTTGGATTCACACCAAGAACAGAGGGAGCTTCCTTCGTTGATCACTCCGTGTGCAGATGATGAAACATCCTGGCTCAGCGTTCAGTGGCAAACTCCCCGCCAGGAAGTCCGTGTGCAGGAGAACCGCACACCTGGAGGCCAGATGCTAGCGTGAAGTTTTCTGAACAAATAAATATGTACACACATGTGTGCGAGGAAGAGAGACAGAGACAGAGAGAGAGAGAGAGGCCCGTCATCAATCTTTTCTGCCTTTGTTCATGCTTTGGAGTCAGTAGGCTTTTAGGAGGCACTCTGTTTAGACGGGACCAATCTAAGACATCTTTTCATTCAACTTGGCAGAGATCACAGGCCTCGCTGTCTATGCCATGTGGTGCCAATGTGGAAAAAAGAAAAGGGAAAGACTCCAGAGTCTGGAAATCGTTTCTCAGCCATTACAGCAGCACAGCCTGCCAGAGCCCTGGGCCACTACCTTCATCTCTCCACAGCACAGCTGCTCGGAAGATGAGCGAGCCATTAGCTTTGTTCTCGGAGACAGTTTTACCCTCATTTTTCTGAATAAAGGAACTCAACTGCCTAGGAGAAACAGGTGTTGCCCACTGGAGAGAAAGCACGAGCAGTTCTAACAAAGCGGCCCAGGATGAAACGAACAGACAAAGGCATTCTTTTCATCCCAAATGACTTCAGAGCTCTCTGCACTCACCTACTAGCGCAGACAGGATACCACACGGGGCATTGCTCTGGCCCAGGAGTAGACAAGATTCCACTCCCTCCGAAGAAGACCACAGGGAACCCAGAGCTGATCTCTCTGATCAGTGGCCGCTGGAATCCCACTGGGGTCTCTTGCTGTCTCCCTCACCTCCTGACGCCTCCCACCTGCAGAGGGTGGCAGCACCCCTGCCAAGGGCTGAGGACAGAGGGTGCTGCTGCATTTTCTTACTGTGAAGTAGTCCCTCAATTATGACCTGTCCAAAGGGGAGGCTTGATGCCAGGGACTTTGTCCAGAGCCAGGTCTAGAAGACCTAGCATCATCTAGGGAGCAAGTCATGCCGGCACAGCTGAGGCTAATCAGCCAGAGGCATTTTATCCAGCACGTTCCTGCAGAGGAGACGAAGGTAGCCTGAGACAAACATCAGGACTCAGGGCTTTGCACATCTAGCTGGTCAGAGAGTAGTTCCAAAGAAAAAGGTGTCAACACCCACTGTGGAATACAAGCTCTTATCACCGAAACCACACCGAGTGGCCAACAGGACGCTGAAAAGCGTTTTCAAGCAAAACCCAGTTCATGATGGTTACACATTTCAGCCCTTTGTCGCTCCTCTATGCATTCCATTTTTGTTATGAAAAAGTTAAACATCGAAACACATGGAGAGTGACCCCATGTTTCTGTTTGTTCCAACAGGAGCAAATGATAGCATTCTACCATGTTGCTTCTTATCATTGTTTTTTTTAGAGATGGGTCTCACTATGTTGCCAAGGCTGGTCTTGAACTTCTGAGCTAAAGCAATCCTCCGCTCTTACCCGCCCCAAGTGCTGGGATTACAGGCATGAGCCACCCTGCCTGGCCAATATCATCTTTTGAAGAAATGTAACACAACAGAGTGGAAGTTCCCTGTGTGCCTATCCCCGAGCTGCAGGCATCCCCATGGCACTGGTGTGTGGTTTCCGTGATTTAATGTACTTACTGCATACATACGAATCAGTAGATGGCCTTTTAAAATTTCTATACAAATTGATTCACACCTTACACAGAAAAGGTTTGGCAATTATTTGATCTACCATTACACTTTTTAGATCTATTGTGTTAAAACATGTAATTCTAATTCATCTTAACTTTTATAGAGTATAGGTATTATATATATGATATTCTACATCTTATTCCCAACTCATGGGGTCTTTTGCTATTGCAGATACTGCTGCAACAAACATCCTCATACGTGTCTCCTTGTGATACTGCCTGAGAGTTTCCTGAGGGTATATTTATCCAAAGTAGAATTACTGGGGTCAAGGGGCATGCACGCTTTTAATTGGAGTAGAATCAGGCAATAGCTCTCCAAAACAGACCTATCATCAGTGTCTTCCCCATCAGCAGCCTGTGCGTTTCCATTTGCCCATATATCCATTAACACTGTGAGAGACCGTCCAACAACTGTCACGAGTCTCATCTAATGGTACTCACTCTGTTGAATTAAACATTCATTAATTTGCATTTCCCTAATCACTTCTGAGTGTCCTTTCCTGTGGGTGGACACTTCAAGATCCCTCTTTTATAAAGCTCTTGTTCTGATTCTTTGCCCAGTTTTTTTCTATTGGGTTGTTAATCTTTTTTGTAGAAATGGGGTCTCACTAGGAAGCCCAGCCTTGTCTCAAACTCCTCAGCTCAATCCTTCCACCTCAGCCTCCCAAAGTGCTAGGAAGATAGGCATGCACCCGGCCCATTTTCTTAATGGTTTATAAAAGGAGCTTTGTACATTTTGCTTGCCACATACTTGTTATATATGTTGCAAATATCTGCTCCAAATCTGTCCACTGCCCACTGCATTTCAAAATGTAAACTGAGAAGTCTTGTGACGATAAGACTCCCGAAATAGATGGTGTGTTCTTAAAGTGGGGGAAGAGTACACACAGCTGCGAGCTCTACAGACATCAAAACCACACAACGGCCAAAGCGACGGAACTTCTCTATTTGGGGAGCACTTTATGCTTTTCAAGGCATCCTTTTGTTTTTTCTTTTTTGCAGGGACAGTGTCTCACTCTCTCGCCCAGGCTAGAGTGCAATGGTGAAATCTCGGCTCACCGCAACCTCCACTTCCCGGGTTCAACCCATTCTCCTGCCTCAGCCTCCCAAGTAGCTGGGATTACAGGCGCCTACCACCATGCCTGCCTAATTTGTGCATTTTTAGTAAAGCCGGGGTTTCACCATCTTGGCCAGGCTGTTCTCAAACTCCTGGCCTCAAGTGATCTGCCCACCTTAGCCTCCCAAAGTGCTGGGATTATAGGCGGGAGCCACTGCATCTAGCCAAGGCATCTTTCAATCCTCTAATTTCAGCCTCATAAAAACCTGAGGCTAGTGGGGCCCCACCTCTTCCCACCGAGGGGAGGGCCTTGGTTCAGTGGCTGGTCGTCAAGACCCATTCAATACTCCAAGTCTGACCTGTTACCCCGATTTTGCAGCTTTCTGGAACAACTCAGACCAGAGAAGCAGGCAAACCTGTCTGCAGTCACAGCCCTGCGTAATGGTGGAGAGCCCAAAATCCCACTCACCTGGTCTCGTAGACAGCGTCTGTCTCCCCCAAGAAAAGTCCACATCAGTGTGGTGCCGAAGCCGGCCAGACCTCGGGAAGAGACGGGAAGGTGTGGATCACTGACAAGCACAGCGCTGCCAGAAGACCTAGAATGCAGCAAGACAGGAGCAGCCCCTCTCCATCCACCCAGGCCACGCCCACCTCGCCCTCTGTGCGCCCAGGACGCGCCCGTCTTGGTGTTTCTGCCCCATGAGAAAAGGGTCGTGTGAACACAGGGATGCACTTTATTCCACTTTTATTGTGCAAGAGCTGTGGGGACCTGATTCTGCGCTAAGCACTCTACTGTGAGATGTCACCAGATGTCATTGCTAGGCAAGAATCTGTTACAAAGATGAAAGGGAGGAACCCAGTGCTCTTTTAAATGGTTGTTATTCCATGCAGAAACTCCGAGGGATCCAGAAGTGGTATCTGAGCCGGTGACCAAGTAGAAATGCTCTTCTTCTCAGTGTAAGAGGAAGCCCCATGACAACGGCTGGGAACGCCAGAGGGGAGGAACACCCCAGCAGCCAGCGTGAAGTTTTTCACCCGATTTGTGGCCCCACCCCCACGGGCCCACGAGGAGAGGTCTTGCCGCACAAGGAGCACTGCCGTGGGCAGCTCGGGCTCACTCTGTTCTGCAGTCTGGGGGGCGAGCTCAGGCCACCTGGGTGCATCCAGTGAGTACCATGTTCCCGTTTCTGGGCACGATGTCTCTAGGACAGGCCTGACCCCTTCTCCATTGCCCCAGAAACCACACATCCCGGGACAAATCATGCAGAGGTCCTCCAGCTTAACTTCCTGTGTGGGTGGGGTTCTAAAAACGGATGAAGACAAAGACTCTCAGGTGGCCCGTGCAGTCTGAATGGGCTCTGAATCCTCCAACTGTGGCTTATGCGGAACGACCTGTTTCTACTTCTGCAAGATGGGACTGCAAGATTTCCTTCTCCTGCCCTGGCTGCAGAGTCCCATTCCCGTCCTACTCAGCACTGGGACAATGCTGGGTGCGTGATAATGTTCCATGAGTATCCGCAAAACCAAGTGAGTGAGTGACGGGGCCCCTAGGTGCAGGCAGCCTCCCTACTAATCTGACAGCTTCTCAAGGACTTAGCCAACTGCAGGTTGGGTGAAGAATTCATTTGACAACCACAGAAACAGATGAAAAGTAATGCCCAGAGTCTCCAAACAGCCCTGTGCCTTGGGAACGCAGAGCCGCGAGAATATTCACCTTCCTGCTGCTGTCGGTTTGAACGGCTCACCAGCAAAGCCTTAGAGGGACAGCAGACGCATCCTCTAAAAGGCTTTTATCCTACACATAAACTTTTTACAAGAGTTTGAGACCTAATACTGAAGATGCATTTCCTAAGAAACTCAGTGCTCCTTGTGGGGAATACAAAGCCAGGGCCTTCCCTGACGAAGACCCACAGAAAGCCCCTGAGTGGTGGATGCGCCCAGGCTCAGGGTGGGGGCAGGGAGGCTTGGAAAGTGCTCCAGGAAAAGCATCCACACAGCAGAGAGTCAGCAGAGCCGTGGTCCCAGGCCAACCTTCCGTGGCCCAGCCACTCCCTATGAGCACCGAGGGCAGTCCTGGTGCCCACCCAGAGGTGGTGGCCTGCACCTGGGACCTGTGCACCTGTGCAGGCTGCCCAGGCAGGTGGGAGTCAGCAAGCAGGCCTGAGTCCCCGGCTTTGCCAGCCTCCTCTGTGCTCCCCGAGCCACCTGACCTTACAGTGCCTTTGAGGATGGTCTGCAAAAGAGGAAAACCGTACGGCTGGGCCCACGCCCAGTGAGAGGGTAGGTTCCGAACAGCGCGGGGCCACACCCAAAACCGTGACCTGAGACCGAGGCCTCCCCAACGCCTCAGAAACATTCTCCAGGATCCAGGAGAGAAGCCCAAACAGGAGCGCAGGAAGGGGCTTGAAGGAGCGTTGTTCTATCTACAGCAATCACGCTGCTTCAGAGGAACGGGCAGAGACCCCTCTCGGGGCAATGCTGGGCACAGCAAGGGCAGCAAGAGATGAGAGGCAGCTGCCCAACCTCTGCCTGCAGCTCAGTTGTAGGAGAGGTAGTCGATGAGCCGGGGCGGAATGTCTAACTGGGCGATCTTCTCCAGCCCTCGGACGCCGGTGGCCTTCCTCAAGCTCACCCTGCAGAGCTGTGACAGAGTCAGAGGCGTCTCTGTAAAAGGGAGTAAGGAAGGATGTGAGGTTAGTTTCAGGAAGGAGCACAACACCTGAAACCAAAGAAACTCAGAATCAGAAACGCCTCCTTTCCCCTGGAACCGGGATGTGTCCTGCAGGCCTTCTCTGTAAGGACAGCCAAGAACCCGAGGAAGGGAGCCCAGGAAATGAAACTCGGGTGATGTCAACTGGATTGCATTTTGTGGGTTTTGGGTTTTTTTGCCTTTTTTTTTTTTTTTTTGCCACGGAGTCTCGCTCTGTTGCCCAGGCTGGAGTGCAATCTCGGCTCAGCCTCCCAGGTAGCTGGGATTACAGGCACCTGCCACCATGCTCACCTAAGTTTTGTATTTTCAGTAGAGACAGGGTTTCCCCATGTTGGCCAGGCTGGTCTAGAACTCCTAACCTAAGGTGATTTGCCCACCTCGTCCTCCCAAAGTGCTAGGATAACAGGTATGAGTCACTGTGCCCTGCCTGGTTTTGGTTTTTTGAGCCACACCATTGTATTTCAGCACCCGGATTTGTCATCAAACAACTAATCTACAGCTAGGAGGCTCTTCTGTCGAACATCCAGCACGGCAGGCACAGGTCTGGTGCCCGGGCAGGTGTCAGCTGCAGCTCCTGCTGCCCCAGGCCACGGGCCACAGGGAACCCAGGAAGAGCTGGGGCAGCAGCACAAACAGCCCCAGCAAAGTGCCCAAGGGTCTGTCCTAGTGCAAAGGGCAGGAGCCAGGACTAACAGCCTAGCTCTTCACTGAAGCCCGCAGGGAGCTGGCACACAGGGGCCCAGGCTGAAAGCTGGAGGGGCAGGGGGCGCGCTCAGTGGGGTGCCTCACTTTCATAGTACTCAAGGCACTTGGCAGGAGCGCTGCTGCTCCACGTGTAGTCAGACGGCTTCTTCCCGCGGTTGTCCCGGGCGTAGATGTTGCCACCAAACTCGATGAGCATCTCGATAAGGTCGACGTTCTTGACCTTGGCCGCGTGGTGAAGGGCCGTCTCATGAAGCTTTGCAGCATTCACGTTGGCCCCTGGAGGTCAAGAGCCGGGAACAGATTTCACCAAGAAGAGAACTTGGAGTGGGGGCTTGGGGGGACAACCACATGTATGTGCACGGTAGGCAGAAGCAATCCCCATCCAGAAGAAAAATCCAGACAGACTCTACCATAGCTTTCAAAAACGTTTTCAACATCCAAAAGCAGGAATTACTTATTGTTCCCCCTCATGAGAGAAGTAGAGGCAGGCCGTGATAATAAATAAATAACTGGACCTAGAACTGGAAAGAAGAAAAACAATACAAAAACATCCCGAGTTAACGGTTCTAATGCCCTGTCAATCTGCCTTCAGGGGTCCTGAGATTGCCAGAAGCTCCAATCGGAGCCACTCCAGCATCCCCGCCTGGCCTGAAGCACTCACACACTCTGCCGCCTCCTCTTGCGGGTGCGGGATGGAGGCTCTGGAAATACTGGGTGGATGAGAGAATGAGGATTCCTTAACAATGCATGTTCCTTTACAAAAGGGAAGCAGATAATGTGCCCAAAGCCACAGGCAATTCAGAGAAGAGAGTAAGCTCCGCACTCCTCAACTTTCTCAGGATAAGAGCGGACATTCACCAAGCTGATTAAAAGTAAAAGAAAAGTAGCAGAATTTAAAAAAAAAAAAGAGCAGACATTCAGAAAGATGCAAAGGATTAGCAGCTAAATATGGCTTTTTTTTTTTTTTTTTTTTTTTTTGAGACAGAGCCTCACTCTGTCCCCCAGGCTGGAGTACCGTGGCACAATCTTGGCTCACTGCAACCTCCGCCACCAGGGCTCAAGCAATTCTCCTGCCTTAGCCTCCCAAGTAGCTGGGATTACAGGCTTGAGCCATCACACCCAGCTAACTTTTGTATTTTTTGTAGAGACGGGGTTTTGCCACATTGGCCAGGTTGGTCTGGAACTGCTGGCTACAGGCACAAGCTACCACATCTGGTCAAATACTGCATTTTTTTAATGCACTAAAAAATTTTGATAAAAATATGATTTTTGTAAAACGTCATTCTTAGGGCACAGCCATCATTGCTCCTATACAATAGACTCTCCCAGGGCTTCCGAATTCTTTTGGAAGAAAATGCCATTTTCTTCGAAGTCTGTTCCTCAGTAACAAAGGAGGTTATAAGGTAAAAGGAATAAGAAATATTTTAAAGAAGCCAAGCAAATCACCCAGCATCAGTAAAATAATCTGCCAAATGACAGATTCAAACCACAACCATAAAATATTATCAAAAGTGGGATTTTACAATAACAGACCACCAGCATGCCATCACCTACCGACAATTTCAGAGGGCCAGAAGAGGAGTGGAAGGGTGGAAAGCTACATTTTCTAGTTCCTGTGCTCAAAAAGTATCTGAAAAATCCTGCTTTCTGCTTTAAAATGGTTTTCTTGTTTTGTTTTGTTTTTGAGATGGAGTCTTGCTCTGTCACCAGGCTGGAGCACGGTGGCGCAGTCTCAGCTCACTGCAACCTCCGCCTCACGGGTTCAAGCGCTTCTTCCGCCTCAGCCTCCCGAGTAGCTGGGACTACAGGTGCATGCCAAATGCCCGGCTAATTTTTTTGTATTTTTAGTAGTGACGGGTTTCACTGTGTTGGCCAGGATGGTCTCGATTTATTGACCTCGTGATCCACTGCCTCGGCCTCCCAAAGTGCTGGGATTACAGGCGTGAGCCACCGCGCCCAGCCTCTGCTTTAAAATGTTTTAATCCCCTAAAAGCACATAAGAACCATGCACAAAACAGCATTCATGGCATGATCCTAAGATCCCAGTGCAGCGGGCGCAGTGGCTCACACCTGTAATCTCAGCACTTTGGGAGGCTGAGGTGGGCGGATCACAAGGTCAGGAGTTCAAGACCAGCCTGACCAACATGGTGAAACCCTGTCTCTACCAAAAATATAAAAATTAGCTGGACATGGTGGCAGGTGCCTGTAATCCCAGCTACTCAGGAGGCTGAGGCAGGAGAATCGCTTGAACCCAGGAGGTGGAGGTTACAGTGAGCTGAGATTGTGCTACTACACTCTAGTCTGGGCAAAAAAGAACAAAACTCTGACTGTCCCAGCCCTCCAAAGTGATGACAAGTGAAGAAAGCTCTGTCCGCTTCCCACAGCCAAAACTCAGAAGTCTGGCCAGGAAAGGGTGCAGAGAGCCAGAGCAGCCGACCCCTCTGGGGGAATCAGCAGCAAGGCTGCTGTGGACTTCGGGTGAACTCCAGAGAAGCGGAACCATAATAGGGAAATGTGTATGTCTCAGAGAAGAGCAGAGAGGCCTAGAAAAAGACAACCAGCTCTCACCTGGCTGCAAGACAGCTGTCAGCTGAAGTATGTTAACTGAAGTGTGAGAAGAGGCTGTTCTACATAATCGCACCCTCCCTCTGCTATGTGCTTTGTAAACATATAAAGTACTTTGAGGCAGGTCAGGGCGGAAGAGACTGACACCATCAGCTTTCGGACCGCCTGGTCCAGCTTTATCTATGTCTGTCTGTATGTCTGTCTTTACCCCCCGCCAATCCCTCTTCCGTCTTTGGACACTTGTGCAGCGCGGGACACAGCACATGCCAGAAAAAGGATCTCTCAATTAGGAAAAACACTAAATTACCTAGGTCCTGAATTCGGCAGAAATGTACTACAAAAAAATAATATTTAAAAGCAATAGATTCAAAAAAGATTCTCCCCACAGTTCATCCTCTTTCACATAAGGGGTTTTCCTCCTGTACAGTGTTGCAATCATGAAAGAAGTAAATCTTCTCACTAAGGTACACTTGTAATGAAAAGCAAATTGTACCATGCACAGAACCTAAAGTTCAAGTAGCTTTCTCTCATGTCATTAATTCCGGTAATATTCTTGCCAACTGCGAGAGAAAAGTGATGATCAAAAGAAAAAAACAGAAAGGCCCAAGGGACGCACAGCTACTCTCTCACCATCAGGGGGAAACCATGGCTGAAAAGAGCTCTAAAAATCCCGCTCCCTGCCGGGCTCTGCAGACAAGGCCTTGGCCAGGCCTCCTGCAGAGAGGCGACCTTCCCAATGCACATCTTTTCAAAATCTGTGCTTGGCATTATTTGACTGGGTGGAAGGGAAGGAAGGTGAATAAGAAAGGAAATGAAATTGTGAATAAAGAATTGAAGGGAAACAGCAGGCCGGGGTGCACACAGCAGCATGGATAGACCCTGAAAGTACAGCACCAAGTGAGCCAAGGAGAGAGTGGGCGAGGAAAGCCCATCAGCTATGTGTATTAAGAAACACGCCTCAGCGCAGTAGCTCATGCCTGTAATCCCAGCACTGTGGGAGGCCTAGCCAGGCGCATCACCTGAGGTCAGGAGTTCGAGAATAGCCTGGCCGACATGGTGAAGCCTCGTCTCTACTAAAAATGCAAAAATTAGCCAGGCACGGTGACTCATGCCTGTAATCAGCTACTCGGGAGGCTGAGGCACCAGAATCACTTGATCCCAGGAGGCGGAGGTTGTAGTGAGCTGAGATTGTGTCACTGCACTCCAGCCTGGGTGACAGAGCAAAACTCTGTCAAAAAAAAAAGAGGGGAACAGATACAGAGAAAAGAAGAGAAGGAAGAAAGAAAGAGAAGGAGGGTAGGAGAAGGAAAGAAAGTGGCTTTGTGTGAAGCGAGGATGGTGATATACCTTGAACTGAGAGGCTTGGGAAAGACAGACAAGGACAGAGACACAGAGACAGAGACAGAGATAGACAGACAGACGGAGAGACAAAGACGG